AGTGGTGGTAATATTCATAAGCTCCATCAAGTCATCGCCTTCGTCGGAGTTGAAGATCCGACAATGACAAACATTTGTTTTGCAGGCTTAAGGTAGGGGTGATAACACGATTTTCCTTTTTTTCTCCCTTTTTTATAGTTATTGTAATATATATATATATATATATATATATATATATATATATATATATATATATATATATATAAAGGGCAAACTAATCATTTTTTAAAATTTAAAATAAATTGGAACAAACTCGCAACAAAATCAAAGTTTTAGACTAGTACAAAATGTTTTGGATCAAAATAACAATTTTCGACAAACCACAACGACCAGTTTTACAATTTTGTCTTTATTAGATAAATGAGTGGCCAAATGAGATTAGGGTTCCTGAGTGAAATGAGATTAGGGTTCCTGAGTGCGGCGTGTACGAACCGTGCAAGTTTAGAAATTAGAACTTGATATATCTTTCTTAGATATAATTAATAATATAATTTTATAACTAAATAATAATAATGAATATTTAACAAAATGTAAAATAAAAATACGTACAATAGTTAAACGGGTTGACAAGTAATCCGATCCAACTCATTTAATTAAAAATGAGGCTGATACATTTAATTAAAATATCAATCAAATCTACTAATTTTCAGAAGATCAAGGTCGGTCGGCGGTGCACCTCGCTAGGGGGATCCCGCCAATCAGCTTCCTTACGCCTTGCGGGTTTACTCACTCGTTATAGAAGTTTAATTAAAAAATAAGATGATCCCACTCCAACATTAAGCTATCGGCTCATGGTACCTTTCAAACAACTCATGATCCTACTAGATTACAAGCCTTTAGTGGTACTCAAATTCAATTACTCGAACATTATCTCTTCGTGAATTTTCCCTAATTCACTCTCACACACTCCTCGTCGCCCATATGCCCTCCGTCTCTCAATTGTCGTTGTCATTAATCCTCAGCCAGCTTGTCGACATCGACAAAATTTTCACCTTAGCTTTGCTCTTCGACACGTTCTTCTTTGATCTATGTTTAGGTTTGTTTAAAATCATATTTATGTCTCTTTAAAATATTGATTACCTTCATTAGCTATCCTATAGTCTTATTATAGATCTATCTATTTCTAAAAAATACATCATAAACACTAAAGAAGAAACACAAAACAGGAAAATTTGCAGCCTAAAACTCGTTGGACACTTTATTGAAGAAAATTATTGAAAACTTCAATTTCTTAACTCGCTGATTACAAAATAATGGATCATATCTGATTATATACTAAAACAAACACATTAGAATATAACTAGGATTCCTAAATTGTAAACACTTAAACTTTCCTTATTGCTCAAGAAAATTACAAAAACTTGGACACCACTTCAAGATAACCTTTGAGCTCGATCAGAACATGCTAAGTGGCCACATCTGTCTCAGCAAATTCGTCAACAAACACATTGTACCCATTTTAATCTATTTATAGTTCACATGGAAAACATCTTGTTGTACCCAAGCCGGTTCATGTATGTATGTATAAAATATTATTTTAGCTCTCCTATTTGTTGTGTTTGGATTAGTGGTGTGTTGTGGGTTCATATTTATGTATATAGTTGAGTTGATTTGGTTATGTAACTACTAGGGGATCCCATCAACCGACCACATTGTTGAGATATGCTATGCAACCTTATAAAAGAGGTTTGAGATTATAACGACTTATTTGATATTGCAAGCAGTGTCAAAAAAAATGAGACGAAAAGTTGGCATGATACTTATAGTGAAATCATCTTTGGCGTTTAAACATCCATCGATATGTCATGTTATTCAATAAAAGTCACAATGGACCAAAGGAAAGCCCAAATTACCCTGGAAGAATCGACATGGTCTTACAACAATGATTTGGTTTATGACTTCTTCAACTCAGATATTAACAAGTAAATCCAAGTATTATGTGAGATACTATTAAAACATGGAATTCGACAAAAACTGCTATGCAAACATGGTTTTTGAATTTACACAGTGGTCAGTGGGTGATATTAACGTGTGTATGATGTTTGGTCCGCTACACAAAACTTACCACATCTTTATATTTGCATAAAGACTCATTTGGATTTGGATAAATCAAGTAATCGGCAAATACAAAAATGTACTATTGTATTCAAACTTTTGGTTCGCCACACACGAGGAACACTGTGTTAATAAACTCATGGTTGTCAAAATCGCGATCCTGATCGTAGGATCGTACGATCCTACGAATGGAAAACGATCCGGATCGTAAAAGGATCGTATTTGGTGTACGATCGCAGGTAGGATCGTAAGATCGTAGGATCAAGATCCGATCCTACCTTCCCTTGATTTTTTTTTTTTTTTTTTTTTTTTTTTTGCAAATGAATTTTTTTACCACTTTATGTCTTTTACCCTTTACCAATTTATCATTTATCATTTTGTATTGTGACTTATGACTAATATTTTGAAGTTTTTATAACTTTTGAACAAAAAATTGAATGTTTGAAATATTTTTCATAATTATAAATTATAAATTAAAATTATATTTTATTTTGTGGGATCTTAGGATCCCGATCCCGATCTTGCAAACCCAAAAACAATCCTAAGTAGGATCCCGATCTTGACAACCTTGAATAAACCTATACAACTTGCAATATAAAAGTTTTAGTATAACATGAGAATTATAAGGGCCAAATTAAGGGCTAATTTCTCCATTATAAGGGCCCAACTAAGGTACATGTTATGGAGACCCGATAATTAACATCAGAATAAAACTTTTTATTATAAATCACAAGACCAGTTATCTTGGGTCTAGTTACAAAAATTTAAACACCCAAAGTTTAATACAGCCCAATAACGCAGTTGCCATAGGCCCAAATCAGAACAAACTTATTTCGTTTATAAGAGGTAAAAGGATTAAAATTTAAAGAAAAAATAATATTAAATACTAAGGCTTAAAGGGGTTGAAAGTTGAAACACCCAAAATGTACTGTCATGTTTACAATCTTTTAAACCATTTGATTGAAAAAGTAGATTATTACTACCGCAACAATTTTCAAAACCACAAGCAATCATCAAATTGTCAAAAACACTGTACGTCAAAAGATTACAGGAAATCCATACTACATTAGTTCAATACATCACGTAAAAATTATAAAAAAACAGTAGTTAAAAATGAAAAAGTAAACACAACTTTCAACCGAATAATAAATTCCAACAAGTAAATAATAAAATTTATCCCACAAAATTATTCAAACATGTAATACTATAAGAGCTTAAGCCTTCGTGATAGGAGCTTAATGGTTGAGGAATAGAAATCTACATAGAAGGTCCATGGTTTAAATCTTAGGGCAGATTGACGTGGGTTGGACTGTTAAGATAATGTGGTGGACCATTTAAGAACTGTGTTGAAAGAAAAAAAAAAGTTTGAAATAATATTATTTATTTATGTAAGTACATTCAAATTTATTTTATCTTTCATCAAATGAGAATTTATAGTATAAAATCTAAATGTTTATTGATCATGAAGTTCAAAATATTGCAGTAAAAGGGGTATTTATTCTTCATTCTCATAACAAAACCTTTTTAATCAAAAAGATATAATATTAGTATGTGTAATTTTGCAAGTAATTAGATATTCAAAAACATAGCCTTGAAATGATGAAATCTTTAAAATGGGGTGTTGCTTTAGATATAATCACCTTCAATATTTAATCATTTCACATTTTTTAAAAAAAGTTGAACCTAATTGCTCATTTCATTTTTTTCAAACTTCATTTTAGAGCTTATATTATATTGAAATGAATAAATAAAAATATGTAAACTCATTATTTTTTTCATTTTAGAGCTTATATTATATTGAAATAAATAAATAAAAATATGTAAATTCATCATTTTTTAAACTTCTTTGATATTCGGAAAAAAAAATCTATAACATGTGCATCAAATATACATTCTTTGGAAAAACGTTTTTTAAAAGCTTATTTTCTATTAAAAAAAACTAAAAGTATGTAAATTCATATGCATATAAGAAGAAAAATGTTTGTTTTGATTTTTTTTTTCAAAAAATTATATTCTATATCGGTGTCCTAAGTTATTAAAAAATCTCTCTCTCTCATGGTGGGATGGTGTTTGTCGTGCCATTGTGATGCCGAGTCTTATGAGTTACTAATTACAGGATAGGTTACCGAGTCCCAATTATTCCATCTGAGAAAACTTTTTTGTTAAAATTTATTGTAAGGTACAATATTTTAAACAAACTCGGATAAAAAGACCCGGGCCTTGATGAGGGCCCATATAAAGGATCGATTATACTATTTGTCCAGCTTTTTTTTAAAAAACGGTCTGGGCCAGGACCCATTAAAAGCGGCTCGATCAGTAATATTTATGACCCTTGTATTATATCTGTATGAAAAAAATATTGTATTATTGTTACTTGTAAAACGAATTTTTAATCTGTGGTACACTTGTAACATGTTAGCCCTATGTCTTTGGCCCATTAAGCGAATGTCATTTGTTACTAGGCTCTATAGGTTTGATCCAGTCCAATAAGAGAGTTGCCAAAGGCCCAAAGCAGAACAAGCTTATTTAGTTTATTTATAAGAGGTTTAAAGGAATAAAATTTAAACAAAAAATAAATCCAAAATATTCAGGTTAAAAGGGTTAAAAAACCCAAAATGTACTATCATGTATACAATCTTTTAAACCAATTGATTATAAAAAAAAGTGGGATTATAATATTACCACATCATACCACATCATTTTTCAAAACCACAAGCAATCGTCATATTGTGAAAACACTGCATTTTTCAACCAAATATATAAATTTCTACAACCAAATAATAAAATTTATTCCACAAATATGTCAATACTAAAAGAACTTTGTTGAAAGAAAGAAAAAAGAGTTTGAAATAGTATGATTAATTTATGTAAGTACATTCAAGTATATGTTATCTTGCATCAAATGAGTATTTATACTAGAAATCATTACACATAACTCATTTTATCGGAAAAAAAACCCTTTAGTTATAATAATTAGTTTACTAATTACGTTTCCAAAGTAATTAAAATACGAAAAATATGTTAAATAATACATTTTACAAATTTTGAATTTCGATTATTCAAACTCATGAGGGTGCAATGGCTTCCTCCACCACCTCATTTGTAGGCGTATCAACAGCCGGTAGACGATTAAGAACCTGAATAAATGATGTTTAAAAAATATCTGAGAAAACAACAGCACAGAATCAAAGTTGACTTTGACTTTGACTTTGACTTTTGCTTACCTCGAATAAATGCCAAGAAACAAAAGCATCTGTAGCTGCATATGTCAGTTGTTCTTTTGACAAAGGATTAGCCTCCCAATTTCCTAATCTAATTTTCGAGGGTTTTGGAACCTGAAAAAAAAAAGACAGTTAATTCAGTTAAAATGTTCTAGCTTAAATAAATGTTGGAATTTTTTTTATTTATCTTTTACGTTAAAAGGGTAAAATGGTAAAATGAGCAAGGAGGAAGGAATATAACCTCTTTGCAAGTGAGAGCCTCAGTTAATGATGACAAACTCCAACTCTTAGGCTCTTTACCAAGCTTTTGATTGGCTAAATATGACAAATCTTCTAAACCATCTACAGACACATTATGATCATTGAACACCTTGCGGGCATCACCAGCAATTCCCACTCCAACCTGTTCATAAAAATCTGATTAGATTCAACAATTAGGGTTTACAGGTTACAACATTAACATACCTTCACAGATTTGGAATCCCCAAGAAGAGACTTTAAACTTTCAGGGAATCCAGAATGAATAACATGCATTACATGACAACTTGCAGCATCTGCACATATCTGTAGAACTGCAGCCTTCCCTTGTTTTACACCTTCATGATTCAAAAAGTAAAAATATGTGAAAAGTTATAAGAAAGATATTGAGTTCTGATAGGATTATAGGAACCTTTTCTGAAAGATGGTCTCCATTCAACGTCAAATCCAATAATAGCACGACCTCCATCTTTCTTCTTGAGTTCAACAAACTTTAAGAGCTCATTTGCAGCTTTTTCCACCTGTGGGAATGTTCTACTGTACACAATATGACCTTTAAAAGCCATTGTAGGGTATTTCATCTTTATATTATCTGAAACAGGAATCACAAAGAAGATGCTTATAAGTCAGTGATACTTCAAATCCATGAAACGTCATTTCATCATTTCTATTCCCGATTACAGTGGCAACAGTTCCCAAAAGCTTGAATTTCTCCGTTAACAATTTCCTTTTGTTCCTTATGGTAATGCGAGGAACAATACACGCTTGTTGACAGATTCATTACAACATAGCTAATTTAAAAATAATTTACAAAGTGAAGTAGATTACCACGATTGGAAGAATCACTCGGGTTAGAAAAACGATTTCTAGGGCAAGGCAATAACGAGATCGAACTTGAAGGATCAACTGAAGAGCTGTTAAATGACAATGCAGACCGTGTAAACAAAGAATCAGGCAATCGCCGGCGAGTTCTCGGACGATCTCCGTCGCAATTGGCGACAGATTTCTTAGATGAGGAAGAAGAAGCGACGGATTCAATAGCAGCGTCAATTGACTGAAGTTCTTCGTCGGTGAAATCCAGATCCCAGTCTGAGCAGACGCTAACAGTAGATGATTGTTGAATTAGGTCATTTTTGGGGATTTCCATGAACAGATTGGACACAAAGTAGCTATGCCGGCGTGAAAAGTTTGAACGGTTTTGTGTTTCGAGGGAAATCTTTGGTTTGTATAATTGTATTTACATTGTTCGCCCTTATGTATTTTTTTCTTTCCAATTTCAGTCTTTGTTTTTATTTTCCTTTCTTTTCCTTCCTTTTTAAAAACTAGTTACACGAGGGTGAGTTGCAAAATATGACAACCAATTATGTCTCCATTTCTAATCTGGTCACGAATTAGAAAAGTTATGTTTAGGCTACTTAATTTATGGTTTAATTAGTCATCATATTTTACCTAATTTATGGTTTAATTAGTTACTTTATTTTTTTCAATAAAATCATTCTATTTAAAATAAAAATCAACATGATATTTTATTGTTGGTTTTGATTTGATCATAAGCTCAACGGTGTGAGACTTGTCTTGTCGGCGACATCCGATGGATGTGGATGCATTAACGGTGGCAACCCCCCCCCCCCCCACTCGCAGCAATACTCGAAGGCAATGTTGAGCGGCAAGTTTTTTTCCGGTGGAAATATTTGTGTCAAACTCTTCTTCTTAGGACTGAGCATGAGTTGGTTTGGGGTAAAATCGAACCCAAACTGATAAGTTCAGTGTTTTGGTTTTGAAAATGGGTTGGATTTTAGGTTTTATAGGTTGGTTTTTTGGTTTTCGGGTTCAACCCATAGGTTGATGGCTTTGGTTTTAAATCCTTGGGTTTTTGGTTTTAATCAAATTTCCGGTAATTCTAAATAAAATGAAACAAATTTAGCCAAATTTAATACCAATCAAAAACACTAAAACCAGACAACTAGTTTAAAAAAACTAATAAATATTAAAAGCCAACTAGTTTAAAGAAACTAAGAAAGATTAAAAGTTAAAACTAGTCGATGGGTTTTGGGTTTAAACATATGGGTTTGGGTCAGTTGTTCGGTTTTAAAAACATTGGGTCAATTTGTGTTAGTGGCCGCTTTTTAATGTTCAAACCGAACCCGAATTATTTTACTTTTTGAAAAAAATAAATCCAAAACTGATGGTTCGAGTTTGGTTTTTCGTTTTCGGTTTCGATTTTACTTAGCCTTATATTCGAATCTTCTTTTGTTTAAATAAAGTAAAATTTTAAAATGAATGGATTCATAATCACATTATTATTATTATTATTATTATTATTATTATTATTATTATTATTATTATTCTGCTTTGAACCTACTTTTACTTATATCTAACTAAACATGCTATTTTCTACGGTATGAAGTTTTGCGTTAGAGTTTGGTGTGTTCATATGAGTTATACTATATAAATCAACATTGGTGGCACTTTTACTTGGCATTTCTAGTCCCCGTCAATTTTCTTTTTCTTTTTTGATCCTACTTTACTTCGTCTTTTGTGATAGCATCGTATATTCCATCCGGCCAAACCCAAAAGCTTGTCGTCGTCGCAGTCATTTTCCTTCACCAATATACTGAGAGAAAATTAGCTTTTCACATTATAAAATCATAAACCAAGAAGTATACCAAGAGTAACTATATATAATTTGGTACATAATAAGGCTATGATCCTAAAAAATATGGTAACAATTGGTCGCATATCAAATAGATAAAGATAACACATCACTGTCTTTTGATATATACTAGGTGTGAGACTCGTGTATTACAAGGGTTTATTAAAAAAAATTAATATTTGCATTTTTATTCCTTAATCATTTCATTTATATTACATAATAGCATCGTACTTTCATTTTGATCCCATAATAGCATCATGCTTTTATTTTTCTTTTATTTTTATCACATAATAACATCATAATTTCATTTTATACCATAATGGCATCATACTTGTGTTTTCAACCAATAATAGCAACATAGTTTATGTTTTTATCAGATAATTCCATAAAAAAACCAATGTGAGTCCAATGATAACATTTAAATATGAATTATGATGCCACATTACACAAATTCACAAACAAAAACAACAGAAGTAGCAGGGGTAAAATCAGTAATTCCATTGGACAAAATTGATTTTGCAATCTAACATAATAAAGACAGTACAATAGTAAGAAAAAGTTGAAATGGAAAAAAAAATTATGGGTGTTTTTAGCAATGACAGGGGTAAATATGGTAAATCGATTGTATAATTGCAGTCATTTGAGGTTTACAGACATCTTAAATCATTATGTTATATAATTAAGAACTGTAAAATCATAAAACTAACCCAACATATATGTTCAACTATCGGTGGCATAAATGAGACATCATATTTGACTACAAAAATAGATTATAAACTTTATAACTATCACAGGGGTAAACATTGTACTTTATAATTGTTAAAAATCAAAAGTTTATAAAGTACAATGATATATTATGCATATTCTCTAACGTTGCGTTGTTTAATTTCACTTATGTTTAAAAAATGCAAAAAAAAGAAAGAAAGATAAAATGCAGAAATATGACTTATTATAAGGTGGTTTTTATGAGAGGGGTAAAACAGTCAAATTTGTTGCAATATGTGTATTTTATTACCAAAAAAAACATACGCAAATATGAAAATAATCAAATCATACTTTTTTATTGTATTGGAAGAAAAAGAAAGCTAATCGGTTATAAAGAAAATAGTTATGAAAGTACATTGTATGAAAAACCATACAAAGTACCGGTAAAATCATTGGATTTGGTAACCATTGTGATTGGACAAAATTGTAGTTTGTTTGAATTAATCACAATTTTGTTATCTAAAGTGTCTATGTGTGTATGGTTGTTTTATTATGAATAATGCCTATTATGGATAAATGTCATTTTGGTCTTTCTATTATGATTTTTTCTTTTTATAAACTAAGTCCAGTCTTGATAACTTGTAAAGCATTTTCTGTTTCATTGGACCTTAATGAAAATAAATTCATGCGACAAATCAAGTTGTCTAAGTAGCATGACGTTTTTTGGAGCCATGAATCTGTAACACTCACAACCAATATAAGCTATATTATAGACAATTATAATAAAATATAAGTAAAAATCCACTATTTTCGTATACAATTAGCTATCAAGCCGGTTATAACAGTCTTTGTTTATACACCTAATTAAGACAGAGTAAAAACAATGAGAAGGGTGTTTTAGGAAACTAAAAAAATCACAAGTGTGTTTTAGGAACCTATAGAACTACAATTGGACCATTTCTGTAAAAAAAAAAAAAAAAAAAAAAAAAAAATTATGCATAGGTACTACAATTGGACCGTTCTTTTTTTTTTTTTTTTGTATAGGCCTTGTATCTATGTCCATGTAGCAATGGGCAAAGTTATAGCATCCTACTTATAAACAATTAAACATCACATACAAAACACACACAACATATTTATATATTTATAAAAAACATTGTTGTGAATTTGGTCCATGTGGTTGGTTATTTTCTTTGGTTTATGTGATAAATGAAATATTTTTTCATTTTGGCCCCTATTTATAGATTCCATAGAATGTAAAGGGCCAAAATAGAAACAATCAACAATTTTAATCTTATAAGCCATGTAGTATGTATATATGTTTCCAATAAAACTCAATGTGTCCGGTTTCTTTTAAAAGCTCAGAATCATCAATATTACAAAAGTTCATAGTCACATTTTTAGAATTTGTCCCATTTTTCAATTATACTTTCAATTTTCTGAAAGTATAATGTTGTTTTTTGCTTTGTTATGAAGTTATATTATAAGTTTTGTTTTTTTTTATTCTGGAAAATACGTACAAATTCAGGGGTAAATCAGTAAGACACAGAAAAACTGTATACATTCTTATGAAAAATAGTTAAAAGTTAAAAAAAATTATAAAGTACAATGCATATAATGCAGAAAAAAATGTTAATACGGCAAAAATATGGCTTATTATAATTTTTTTATGTAGGGGCAAAATGGTCAAATATGTTGTAATTTGACTGTGACAAACATGTCTGTGATCATATTTTGGGTTAAAGAGGTTGAAAATAAAATAAATGTGTCGGACTTATAGTTTGCTACTCATAATTGAATAATACTCAAATTGGTCTTCTATTATATGTATGAGAATACATTGTTTTGATTTAGTATGACTACTCACAGGACTATTACACTACTAGGAATATCGAAATTGAAATCCTTTCGTTAAACATTGTATAATTTTGGAATGTTATTGTAACATCCCAAATTTCGAGTCCAAAAATTTCTTTTAAAAACATTACTGATTCATAGCATTAAGTCATTCAAACATACTAAAAGGGGTTTATATGACAAATCATAGTTTCATTTCCAAAACACTTGTTTAGTTATCAGAGTAAACATCCCAGGCTAACTTGTCATGGTGTGTGCATTGCAACCCTTCCGAGCTCCTCTTCTGAAAACTGAATACCTGAAACCAAAACTGAAAACCGTAAGCACGAAGCTTAGTGAGTTCCCCAGATACCACATACCATACAAACCAACTGATCCATACATACCATACGTAACCATGAGCTATACATAACAAACATATCCATAACCAAGTAAAGTGCTATGTGCCAAACATAGTCTTGCTGTATTGCCACGGGCCGCACGTGGTCTTTCTTGTCAAGCCTGGGGGCCACTCCCTGGGGGCCACCCAATCGTGAGAATTCAGACAATCCTTCGGGTAGCAGATCCCTCTCTGCTACGTTTAAGGCTCAGACGAGAACGGCGTCACCGAGCCAAATCCTTTACTCTGAGATCATTCGATCCCGCGATGAGCAGCTTAGCATCATTCGATCAGCTCACGGCTTTTCACACCGAAACCCTTACCATCATTCCTGCCTGTAGTCCTGTTGACTCCCATCCGCCTACCGGATGATCCGAGACCGCCCTGGTCCCAACTGATTTACCATTACCCGGAATACCGGTTTCCCCCATGCTACCTCGGAGATACGGGCCCCCGCCCACACTCCGCGAACTAAGCTACTAATGAATGCCACGACTTACCCGCAGTCTTACGCCACTCTTGGTCTCCAATGACCTACCGCCTTCCGGACCGAACCATAATGTGGCCCACTCACATCCGGGCGGCTGCCCCGTCCTGAACTTAACTATCTGAA